CAAACTTATATTATTGAAAGATGTTAGTTAATTGTGATGCAGACATTTTTTATTCTTTTCTAACCAGGCTCCTGAACTCTTCACACCACGCCATGCTTCCACAGCTTTAGAAAATGCAAGGAAGATACTAGTTGGTCCTTTGGGAATGAAGACTTTGGACCCAGCGTAGGTTGATCTGTCATTTAGTTCTGTATAAAGTTAAGTCATTTTCATACAGTAAGATTGTCACGGGTATGAATAATTTTGAAAGAATAGCCCCATCACTTAATGATTTTTTAAAAGACTGAATGATTCTCATAAGACAGTTCTGTTAGTTGCTGTTCTAAAGGTTAATCAGTTTTCACACAATAATTAAGTATAAGTACATTTCATGGAAATTACAGTATCTTCAACATAATTTAAGAGTATCTCAAGAACTAAAACAGTTCCCTCAGGGTGATTAAGTATAAGAATAGGAATTAAATTTCCCACGAATCATATTAGTAGAAGTATATTTTGATTGAATGAATGAATGAACAATTTACAAAAAGTAATTTGATATAACAAAAGAAAAAAGTATATTACATCAATAAAATCATAATTTTTTTTTCCTTTGGGATAATTTGATGCTTTTAGCATGGGTTAGAATGAGCATAGAAAATTCAGTTTAATATAAGAGTATGAATATTGTTTATCTGGTCAGGTTGTTCTATACCATCATAAAATCATGTCCAATTTATTGTTTACTTATTGAGCTTTTACTCTTATGATTTGTAGATATGTGTAATATACTATTAACATTCACTCATTTAATGTTGATATTTATACAAATGCACATCTAATCCTGCTGAGAGTTGTAAAAGGTTAATACCAGTTATAACTAACTCGTAGAGAACCAGCTGTATGATGTGATAATCTGAGAAACATAACAAACAAACATTTTTAAAAGTCATTAAAGGACGTGCTAGTTTTTTGTTGTCAATTATTCATTTTTAACAGATTTTTCACTAACACATTTTGTGAAATTCTTTATTTTTTTGTCAGTGATACTAAAAGAGCTCCTAAATAATTAAATAGTCAATAGATTTACCAAAATTCATTCTTAACCAATTGTATTTAAAACAGATGTAAAAGTTTAGAGTGTACAATTAATATAAACAAGAATAGATCATTGCTAGAAACAAGATAATAAAAATATTTGGTCTATATAATATCTAAGGCTGAAATTATCAGTTCAAGATTTTATATATCTAGTCATTAATGTACCATGCTGTGGATCCCATTGACACAAAATAAATTCTACTCTATTCTTTTAGGCAGAGGGTGCCTTTTAAGAGTGAGTGTGTTCAAATCCCACTATTTAATTAAAGTAACCTAAGAGTTGATAGGGGGTGCTGTTGATTAGTTGCCTTCTCTCTAGTCTTTTAGTTTAGAATTAGGAAGACTAGTGCATATAGCTCTTGTGTAGCTTTGTACAATTATCTGAAACAGCCAGCCAGTTGGTTATTTTAGGTTTAACTAAATGATTTTCATACTTTAATCATGTTTTGCAATGTGGCATTTGTTAAGACAAGGTTCTGTAAGTTTACTCTATCCTAATAGTTCAAAGGTATCACTTCAGAATCATGTTTTGAAAAAGAACCAGATTTCAACTTCATCTAAACTCACTTAAAAAACAAACAAAATGAGTTACTGATGTATTTAATTGTCTATGTTTCACAGTGCTTGAAATAGAGTAGCATTACATTTTACTTTACAGCTGACCTTATTTGGATTTTGTTTAACAAAGATTGTGTTTTCAAAACTAACTAACTTATTCTACATGCACCATCTAGTGACTGGGCTTATCGTGGATTTTATGACAATACGAATGATTCTGCTGATGGGAAAGTGGCTCGAGGATGGAACTACCATCAAGGGCCTGTGAGTATATTCTATCATATATAAATATGAGATGAAATGATAAACAATAAACTACAAAAAACAACAACAGTACACTATGCTTTACAATTTATGTCAATCTTATGAAAATTATACATTGAATAGAAAAAAAAAATTGGAAACCATTAAAGTTTTGAAAGTTATTTAACTTTGAGTATCAAAATATTTACTATTAGATGGTGATCTATGCTGTGTTGTTATTAACATGCATTAAAACCATTAAAGGTATACTTACATATTGAAATTTCTGTATACAAAGTCTTGTTATTTAGTCAGTTTTTTGTATCATTATTTGCCTAAAACTACAAGATGCTCTAGGAACAGTTGTGTGCAAAATTTTTTAATAAATGTAATTGAGTTTTTAAAATTTATTGTTATTATGCTGATTTAAAAATGATAAGTATTGTAAACTTTATTGAAAAGAAATATTTTTATGATTATGATATGGTAGACTACCATGTTTCTTAGCTCTAAATATGGGCTCAGGCATTTTGACTCACCTTGTAACCTCCATGTAACCATGCAACTATATATACTGTAACTCTGAATTTACTCAATGTATCTTCATGAAATTTGGCAGGCTTTTAGTAAACATTATAAGTCTGTTATAAAAAAAAATATTTTTGATAAAGTATTTTTACTAAATATTTGTCTGAATTTATGGAGTCAGTCTGACTCAACACTGACTAGTCTGAGTGCAAGGTGATTTTCATGTTAAGATTAAAAATACTTTTCATCTTACAGTTTTTGTATGTCATTTGCACAACCTCTAGAACCTTCTAAGTGAATATCCAAAGTTTTATTTCAGTAAAACTGTGTTTTATCTGTTGTTTTCTTTACCTTAAGACTAATTATTTTCAAATCAGTAACCTAGAGGAAAATGAAAAGTTGAAAAATGTGTGGTATTCAAAACATGTTTAGTGTTTCCTGTGTTCTCTACATAGGTAATGTGAGCATTTTATATTCATCTAACACCTTCAGAATTTTCAAATATACATGTTTCTAGCCCTATGTGTGCAGTTTTAGCTGTAGAATAATGGCCACAGAATGTGGCTAAATAACTCGTAGATCTGGATCATTATCTACTGGGGTACATATTGCTGTATAGTAGAGTAAGCTATCTAAATGAGAGCAGTGAACTTTTCCACTGGCAGGTCAGGTGATGTTTTGAGGTTATACCCTCCCTTATTTAGCTGTTGGAATGACCAACAGTGATGTGGGTATCCCCTGCACTGTGAGTAGGATGTCATTATTTTCCTCGTATATATATATATCATACTCTTTCAGTTTAAAACAAAATCTCTTAAGAATGAGATAGAGAACTCAAACATCTCTGTCACCTAGAAGCACAGTACATCATCCAGTACACTAATATACTTTTTTTAAAAAGTAAAAATTGTTTTCCACTTTCTTTATATTTTATTTATCTCTTTCCTGTTTTCAAACTTAAAGTTAGAGAAATTCCATTTAACTGGGTAGTACATTACCTGACATTTCTCAAGCTATTACTCTTACTTACTGTGTCTCGTAGTTTATATGTGCAATTGAGAATACCACATGAATAGTTGTTAAAAGTTAGGATGATACTTTTAGTTCCTATGTTTGTATTTCATTCACTAAGAGAAAAATCAGACTTATGAAACTTACCCCTAATATGATTTTAAACATAATGATTTTTATTTTTTTTGAAGGAATGGTTATGGCCAGTAGGATATTTTCTTCGTGCCAAATTACACTTTGCATTAGCTGTGGGTGGAAAATTGGAGCTAGAAAAAGCCATTAAGTTTGTCAAGTCCATTTTGTCAAATCACTTCCAAGGAATTCAAATCAGCAAATGGAAAGGTCTACCAGAGTTGACCAATAAAGATGGAGCATTCTGTCCAGGTAGCTGCCCCATTCAGGCTTGGAGTCATGCCTGTCTTCTGGATGTTCTGTATGACCTTGACAAGATCTATGCCCCTCTAATTGGTCCTAATCTTGTTAATGGCAGTGTTAACTGAGTTTTTAGTTAATAATCCAGAAACAAGGTTAACATCCTTGCAGATGAATTTCAAATAAAGTAGTTTTTCTTATTGCTGTGATTCTTTTTATTATTAATGTAGTGGCCAGTTACACTTTTTATTAAAATAATACAGGTTGTCATCTTTCCCATGTAATTCCAAATCTAGATATTATTGAGGAAAGCTTTTGGACAAATTTGTTGCCTTAAATTCTCCCTTTGTGTTGTTTGAATTTCATCGCAAAGAAAAAAATTGCATTGGATGAATTTACGAGTTTTTCATAGATACAATTTGTCTGGATTGTTTCGGGTAAGAATACTTGATGTAGAATTTTATGTAAAAGTGAGCATTTGAAAAGAATAATGAGAATAATAATAATTCTGAATATGAAAAATAACATTGTTAAGCAATAAATTAGCTTTTTTATGTTGATTTTAATTAATCTGTAATATTTCTTGTATTTTAATTAAAACATTTAAGGATAGATTTCTGTGGTAAGTGTTATAAGGTTCTGTATGAGGCCTCAACTAATCTCCCATAAGATGTGCTCTTTATTCAAAAGTACAAGAGGTTTAGATTTTCTGTTACTTGTTTTTGAGTCAAATAAAAATTATCTGGAAGAAATTAAGGTATACCCTTCTCACAGAATAATCTTGTGTATAAATTCAAAACTTTGTAAAAATCAAATTATTTGCTTTCAAGTAATGTTTTTTATCACTACTATTTCAAATTCTTTCTTTGAATATGTATTTGAGCAACACTCTGTTATTAGTAACTATTTTTAAAATACAATTAATGATGAAAAGTATCAAATATGAAAAGATTGTTTGAATCTGGCATGAGAATTTTATTCTGGTGTCACAAAGTTTATTTTTGTTACTATCTACAGATTAATTGTATATTGTCTCTGTTTTATTATTTCAATTGACTCTCTTACATGATACATATATGAAGTGATACAGAGGTATAGTTTTGTATACTGATGTCCCAACATACTACTATATCCACTTTTAAATTTGAAGTTTATTACAAAAGTATTAAGTTGTGTAGAATTAGGTTTGTTCAAGAATTAGTTGCAAGATTTAAAACACGTTAAATTAGATAATAAATGAATTAATGACAAATTAATTGAAAATTATCCAATCACTGAAATTATATTTAGTTCTCTTAAACTGATGTTAAAAATGGAGTTATTCTGGTTGTGTGATTATGAAATGTCACGATTATTTTACTGTAATTGAATTTATCAGATATAGATTCAATTTAATATGATATCATAACATTAAATATATTCCATCCCAACCAATTACGTAAAGATCTTGAAAATTTTCCTGTTCTAGTTACACAAAGAAACTGCTGAATTGTTTTGACTAGGATATTTTTGTTATGCATGCACATCATATTTTGAGATATGTTAATCTTTTGTGGACTTATCTCTGTGTTCTAATCTTTGTTTTTTTCAAGATGGTTGAGCATGTTCTTAACATTTAGTTCTAGATCAAATTTCAAACAAACTCAAAGAACCTTGTTGATTTTTTCGTGGTTTTTACATGTAAGTGTTTATATCTTGTCATCACATTATTATTGAAGAGTAGTAATTATATATATATATATGCCTTTTATTCTTAATTAAATATAGAGAAAGTAAAAGTGCCCAACTAAATCATGAAGTCGCAGCAATCAAACCATATTAAAATTTTCAGTATAAAACAAAAATATCTTAAGAGCTTATGAGAAATGCTAGATAAACCTGTCATTCAAAAGAAGTTTTGGGTGGACTATTGCAGTTTATATTCATGTGTTTGATAGCATCATCCACCTGTTTCTGTTTTCATTTATGGAAAACTCTTTGATATGTTAGTTTGGGTCCTCCTCAGGTGTTAAATAATAAAACCCTTTACTAGTATATCAAAATGTTATCTTTAAACAAAATCAAAAGAAATCTGATGAAGCTTATTCAATAGTATGTAGTTATAAGATGTGAAAATGTGAACATGTTAATTTTTATAGGAAGACATTTTGAAGAAGTGTTCCTTAACACATATTTTCAATTGCAAAATTCTTAAACTATGCATGTTTTTGATGTTTTCTGAGATTAAGATTGAAATTGAACAGTTATTTTACAATGTATAATATAGTTTGTTTTATAACAGATATTCAATTTTCTTTTATTAATATTTTATCCAATCAAAAATAATATAGTTAATCAAAATAGAAAAAAATTTAATTGTTAGAAAAATTATGCTCTCAAATAATATTTACTTTGCATTAATTTTTTAAATCATGTGTAACCACGTGTAGTTTAATAGGTTTAAAAAAGCTGTAAATATGCAAAGTCAGATACATATTGAACAATTGCATATTTCTCTTTTATTGCTAAAGGATTTATGATTCATATCTAAGACCCCATTAGAATATTTGAAAGACTTTGGGGGGAGGGGGGACTTAAAAAGTAACTTTTGACTTTTTCATGGCCTTTTCATAATAATGTTTATATTTTGCAGTCATGTTATTGTGAAAAAGACTATATGCAACCTTTTTTTTTGTTTTATTTTGCCTGAAAATTAAGGTTATTGTCATTTTTAATTTTCAGGTATTATTGGCTATTTTTCTTTTAAAAAAAAAAAGGTTTAACATGATGTTTTCTCATTATATTTGTACCATTATTTTTGTGTAAAATCCAAATTGACAACAATAAAAATAAAGTTTTCATATTTGAGTAGATCCAGGTTAAAAAATACTGAACAGATACCATTAATGGAAGTTATTTCAGTGATCAATAATGGATTGTAGTCTAAGCGAGAAGTTAATTTATTATGAAACTAAGGGCTTTTTATTTTCTATTTTAACTATTCAAAGCATCATCATGGAGTAATAAGACTAACTGAAGTGATTTAATATATTGGATCAAAATGTTTGTCAATATTCAGAGTTTGACTCTGGATTTGGCTTTGTTGTTCTCACTCTCGGAAATTCTACTAATATTTCCAGAATTTTTAAAAAATTTTTGTTGGGTTTTATTTATTATTATTCATTAATATGCAATTGATAGAATGGTATGTTTGAAGAATTTACACAGATAATAACAAATGCTTTTATTTTTGTAAGTTCATTGTTTGCCATGATAATTTTTAAGATTTAGAGCAAAGTGTGGAAAAATGTATTTTGATATATTGAACATTAAAAAAATCTTAACAAGCATTTATATTAAGGCAAGAGTAGGAGGTTTGTGTTCATAATCTCATTTTTTTTAAGGTCAAGACAGATATAAACATATATAAACAGAAATAGGTGTTTCAGATACTGGGTGGTGTCTGTGGTCTGTGATAAAAAGTGAATAAATGTCTTTTGACTAATTGTATGACCAAAATAACTGATAGTCTGATGTGACAAATAGTTTACTAAGCAAATAGATATTCAAACAACAAATATCTTTCAAATAAAAATTAAACTTTAGGACAACAGGTAAATACTACATAGTTACTTTTCCTCATGTCACTTGGTATTATGTATGAAAGGAAAAATAAAACGTTGAAGATTGGTTTTGGAACTACAAGCTTTTCTCTATATGGTATGCAAATATAATATAGTGCTAAATCATTAACAATCCTAGAAACCAATCCAAACATCATTCCTCAGAATTTTTTTATACTTTTGTTAGCCTGTATTAATACTGCTCATAAAAGCAAGTAATTCAGAATCATTACTAAATATTATTATTTTGGATTTCAAATAAATCTAAAGATTATTGTCATTTAGTTTGTCTTGGCAAACTTATTTTTTTAAGTTCTGATTTGTAAATGATGTTTTTTTCTTTTGCACATAAGAGTATGTTAAGAAATCCTATGTGAAGGTCTACAAATATTCACTGCATTGAACAGTGAAAGTTCACGAGTATAATGCAACTACCACATGAAATCAGAAGTCTGCTAATTTGTTTACCAAATTTTCACTGTAGGATATAGTTATTTTAAAGTAATAATGATTTATAAAGGTAAATATGATTTGTTTTTTTCAATATTTAAACATTTATCCTACTCATAAGGTTCCAGCTGAAATTCCTAATTGCATTTTTTCTTTTCTTTGTCTTAAGAATAATATTGATGTTACATCAAAAACTTGTAACAGAATGTGGTACAAGATATATTGTTATTGCTTAATTATAATTTAAAGTTGATTCTAAAGTAGTTATCTCCCCTTTTATGAAACTGCATTTGTGATGCTTAAAATAACATTTTAGCTGGTTGATTAAAATTCAATCCTTAATTTTATTGCAAATCTAAGAGATGTGGTACAACTAATATTGGTGTACCAATTTTTCAGGCAGCAATGTTTTTATTTTCTAGCTTGTCAGTCTAAAATCTGTGTTTTGTAAGAGCTAAAATACTCCAGCCTATGTATTTAACTCTGAGTAGATCATGTTTCATGTGCCTCTATGGAATGCTTTTTTGTATGGTGTTTCAATTCAAAGAACAGAAACGCAATAAACTTACGTTTTAGGCGTACAAATAGTGTGTCTTGTCAGATTTTGTTATCTTGCATATATGTGTGCGTGTGGAACTATTTATACAAAACAATTATATTACAGATTTCTTTTCACTAAAAGTAAACTCGCAAATATAATTGTGAAGCAATGCCTAATAAATTCTTTGATTCGCCGTTCCATCTGCTGTTAACTGTAATTTCACCTATTTGATTAGCTAGCTTGGGTCAGCAAACCAAAGAAATACAGTTAGCCTTCTCATAATGGCCATGTGTATATGATATTTATGGGGCTTAAGAGCCCTTTTAACTCACCATATAGTAATCTAAATTAAAGTTACTATATGGTGAGTTAAATTAACTTCAAAAACACCATAAATATTTATGTAGAAAAAAAAAACGCAACACTGTGAAATAGGTTTTAATCAACTAAAGTAAATCGGTACTTTAATAATTACTTGCCTATTTATAAAATATTAGCAAATGTAACTAGAATACAAACTCCACTTTTATCAGGAGCAAAGGAGTTACTGAAATGTTGAAGGAAGGTGTAATACATCCATATAAGAAACAAAAACATTTTGCTTAATGTATTATATGACGCAATACACGTTAACCAGTACAAATTTGGTCAAAATTTTTCATTTATTATATTGAAAAGGTTATTTTATGTTGTAACTGTAAAATAATTATAGAAAGTTATTTAACAGTAATAGAAACCATTATGCAACAAAATACAGATTTTTGTAATATACATAAATATATTGCTACGACAGCGGAAGTCACGTGACGCTGCTGGCGCTGGTAGCGTGCGTGAAATTCTTCGAATGATCATGAATTATCGGGTAAGCCAGAGTTTGTTCGAGACGCCCTCTTTTTTAGTATATATTCCTGGCAGGGAATGAATGAAGAGAGTTCCGGGTATTTATGATTTTGTTTCGAGCTAGTGTGTGTTTTGTTATCGAGATTGTGAATCGCTGTGATTTATAGCGTGTATTATAGAAGTAGTTAAGTTTAAAGTTTAAATTAATGTATACTAAAAGTTTGTATCGAGGAAGAATAAACTGGTTTAACCCAGAAAGGACTTGTATCGCTGAAGTTTCTCGGAAAGAATTTCTACAGGAAATTATCAAACAAGCAGATAGGCAACAATAGTTATATATGATGAAAACACGTCACGTTTTTCAGTAAAGAATTTAATATTTTAGAACCTGTATTAAATTTAATAAATTAGTTTTAATTTGTCAATTGCTCCTATATTTTAAACGTTTTTTAAATCTAATTGAATAATTCATTAATTAATCAGTTAGTTAATCACTTAACACCAGGTGGTGAGGGCGCTGGACTTCTGAGGGAAGATGGTTCCAATACCGGTGCCACCAAACATGATCACCTGTGGGGATGTTATAATGTGACTGTAAACCTTGCTATTCCTTGGTAAAAGTGTAGCCCAAGAGTTGGTGGTGGGTGGTGATTACTAGCTGCCTTCTCCCTAGTATTTCACTACTAAATTAGGGACAGCTAGAGCAGATAGCCTTCGTGAAGCTTTGCACGAAATTCAAAACAACCAACCTACCAACTGTCTCAGTTTAACAATACGCAAGTTACGTTTTGATAACCATATACAGTTTTGTGCTGCTATCCAATCAAACTCAACACAATTTTATTTTCAGGTATCACGAAATAAGTAATCTTCGACAGAATTCAGCTAAACTAAACGTTTTCAACTAAAATTCTCATAATTCAGGATTAATAAATATTCGTCCTGTTACTACAGTATATATCAATATATTCGCAGTCAAAACACGACTATGCGTCCTTCTGGTGAATGGGGAAGATCCATTAACTCAGAAAACAACAGTTGCAAAGCCCTTCTATCTGAGTTTGTGAACTTCTAGCCATCATTCAGTTGTGCCTTAATCTACTAACAACAGCCTTCATAACCATGTTACTTGAGCAGTTACCATATGATATTCCGGGTTTTTAAAGTTTATCAACCATTTCATTGATGCTTAGTCATCTCCAACAGGTCCCCTAGTGGTACAGTGGTATGTCTGCGGACTTACAATGCTAGAAACCGGGTTTCGATACCCATGGTGGGCAGAGCACAGATAGCCCATTGTGTAGCTTTGTGCTTAACTTCAAACAAACAAACACCTCCAACAGTGAAATTCCTATGGAAACTACAAACAGTTTTTATTTCATAGTATAGTATTTGCATTAAGGTGCTGTTAATGTGTAGCTGTATGCAATTACATGTTGTACTCTATCCTGGAATTGCAATAACATTGCTCCAACTCCACTATAACTGGTGTCGGTATCCAACAAGAACAAACAGTCCTGTCATAGATACACTAACACTGGGGCTTCTACTAAAGCACATTTCAGGAACTCGAATGCTTGCTCACATTTTGCTCAATCTAAAGTGCATCTCAACTTTAATGCGAGCCACTAATTATGAGGAGAACATGGGGAAATTGACGACAAACCGTCAATAGTAAAATGCAATACGTAGAAAACTAGTTTTCTTGCTTGGTCGCAGATTGAGGTCAGTTAGATCTTAGTTAGATTCACGAAGATTCCATCTCTACCCACAATCGGGAAATTCCACTTCTATGCACATGAACACACACACTTTCTTGGTTTTAGTTTCAAGTTGGTCTTTCTTATCTGCTGGAATACCAGTTTCAGGTTCTCGAATGCAGACTTGAACACATAATCAAACACTAAAATGTTGTCGACATAAATCAGACAATTCTCCCAATGCATCTCTTTATTGTAAGCTCCACTAGTATCTCCAAAGCGGAAGGTGCATAGGCCAAATGACGTGTCACAACATTCATACAGGCTATTTCTTGTGCTGAAAGCAGTCTTAGCTCTCAAATTACCATTATCTGGATGCCAAGTTTCAAGTATTGAACCATTGGGTCCCTTCCAGTGCATCCAAACTTTCATCTATTCACGGTAGTAGAATAACGTCAATGCAAGTTACCAAATTCACACATCTAAAACAAATACAGAATTTGTGCAAATCTTTCTTCTTCCTGAGAATCACTACTGAAGATGACCAAGTGCTCTTTGATTGTTGTATGATCTCGTCCTTTAACATCGAAGGGATCTTAGCACTGGCTACATCCCGAGTGCTTCAGGGAAGCTTTCATGGAAGTTATTTAATCAGTTTTTAGACCCAAATGGCCACCTGGTCTCACGAATACATTGGCATATTCAACCAACAAGTCACTAAGTTGCTGCTAGTACATTCTGTCTAGATATGGGTAACATCATCAATTAGTCATGGCCCTGCCCATTCACTGAATACCAGTGTAGTTCCATCTAAGTGTGTTGTTTGGGTGGTTGGTTAATTCTTAGCTGGGCTCGAGTATGGCATAATGTAAGTGCCTGGGTAGGATAGTCTGTTCGAGGTATAGCTTATGAAGCTGATGCATAAGGATTATTTTTCACTTATGACAAGTTTGAAGTTATCACTTCATACTGCAGTGTCACAGAAACTGTCTTAGTAAGGATGAGGAAATGTCTCGCACCCCAGTGGTGCTTCGTTGTTTTACTAGGTAGCCTTTCCACATCAGGGCCAATGCAAGGTAAGCCTTACCATGCAGATGGTGCAGATCATCCAAGTTCTCTGTGGTACCCCTCTTCCAAGCTTCGAATTCAAACTGATTTTCCACTTGATGTAACTTTCATCACAACTCGGCAGAAAAAGATCAGTCATTGTATAGTCTGCTCTGGAAACTAGCAATCCCAAATGCCTAGAATGCTTCAAGAGATGGCCCAAACCTTCCTTCTTTACCTCTTAAATACCAAGGGGTAATTTGTCTTGCCTCACCCATGAGAAATTGTGGTAATAGCCAGAATCACTCCCTCATGATTTCTCAGCATCACCTAACTGAGATTTCCTTGACATCCTGGACACTGTGCGGTAGAACTCTAGGGGATTTCGTGCAAATGTATGATCTTTTGGTCCAGTTTAGCAAAGAAATGAGTTGCCTTCAGTAGCTTTACCATCAACTCTGTGCAATTCCAAGCACCTCCATGTTCCACAGTTGTCTTGCCAGTTTACTTCCTAACTTGGAAAAGCTTACCATTAGCCTATGGCTCACCTACTTCACCACTTAGTTTCCACCATCTTACATGCTGATAAGATTCCTCTCAGAGAATACATTCATTACCCATCTCATCAGCTGTCCCAAGTGAAAGTAGAAAGAGTAACCTTCAGGCATTTCTAAACTTAAACATGGTGATTTTGTAATGAACTAAAACAAGATGTCGCTACAACCAGATTCGAATAAAAAGAACTTATTAAAGTGTAACAATAACAGAAATCCAAAATAAAACTTTCAAACAATTGGAATATAAGTTTTATCACTTAAAAGAAGTACATCCGTGCCTGGCCAGGATCTGATATAGATGTAAATAAACAATACTACATAAATATCAATGTTATTAATTTCAATAGATAAAGAAATTAGGAAAAAGAACCAGAAGAAGAAGAAAAACACAATACTCCAAAATTAAATCATCTGACTAATTAATTTACATAATTTTTCACAATATTAATATCTGTATGTAACCTCTAGGGGAAGCTTGTGTCAGTTTCTTAATAGAAACCTACTCAAATTCGATGTGTTCTATCTAGAAGATGAGTTAGCACTTTTAATATAACTAAAGATTTACAGTTGAACTAAATGATAGAAGGAATAATAAACGACTGGTAAACAAAAATGTAACAAAATAAATGTAAAATTCGCTATCTCACAATGTTATCAGAGAAGGCAGAAACAAGATTAACAATAAATGTCCAGCAATATCATCCGTGAGAAACATCTATGGTATAAAGGCATACCAAGTGTTTCTACCCCATTAGTTTATTTACAACTGTTTCAAAATATATGTGCATATTGAACAAAGATTATTAAATAGAATGCTGGGTAAGGAAGCCACTAAGTTTTTATTACTTAATTAATCGTGGAACTACGTCATTCAACTAGTTTCACACATACTTTCTCCAG